AAATGCGACGCACCTATGCGCTTATGCGGCGCAATTAGTGTGGCGCGGCACTAGCTCCACTAGCACCCCCCCCCCCCGTCGACACTCGCGAACCAGAGGGCCTCATCATATAACTTTGCGTGGGGCCTCATGTTGGCCAGGGACGGTAGTTTTGAGTAAGCTCAAAAATTATTCTTACAAAATCAAAATGTCCTTTTTTTTTCTACAGAAGTCTCCTTTCATCTGGTATACCTACAGTATACTATAGATGACTGGAATACTTCTGATGAGGACAAGTGAGAGGAAGAGATAGGGGGCAGGATATTGAATGAGGGGAATATTAAGGAATAAAATCCGCAAGAGTGCAAGAAAAGAAATGCAGTATGGTTTTAAACATTTGGATGACAAGAAAGCTCCTAAGAAGGCTTCAACATGGCTGAAAGTATGATATCTAACGTAGATACAGCCTTTGCAAAATTCTTTATTACATTAAGAGTTAAAAGCCACACCAAATGAGAAATGGAAAGTCAAACATTTAATTGGATTTGTTTAGTTTCTAGAGAAGATCATTAGTAAATGAAATCAAACAATACATGTCAGACTTTCTCCCTCTAATTAAAGTGATCAAATACCAATTGAATATCACTGAAATGTCCCCAGCACCAACACACAGAGGAAGGAATTGTCCACACTACTGTAGCTTGTACTGACATGACAAACAAAGCCTTGTGAAGACTAACCAAGTTTCAAAACGTTGAGTATTCAATACTAACTCAAACCGCAATATCTCTGAAATACCAACATTTGAAATAGTTGTTTCCCCAGTCCACTCTACATTAAAAACAACATAAGAGATAGCTCAATGTGAACTTCTCATACCCAAACCATGAGATCCCTACATTGATAAGGGAGGGATGGCCTTTCCTTCTATTTACTTTCACAGCTCACCATTTGATTTATATGACAACATGACATTTACGAGGTAATCTCTTATTTATAGTACGTTTGACATTTACCTTTGAACCTTATTTCTTCATAAACATTGGACTCTTGTTCATGCCTGGACTACAAACACAACTGTTTCTGTCTGGTGGAGCTAAATGTAGCGCTACACATCTGCAGAAAATCAAACACAAGCACACACACAGACTTTTATACACCCATGATAGTGAGGGATTTAAAATACAGTACCGATCATTATTTTTCTCTTATATAAAAAGAACAAGGAGGATTGGGAAAAAAAGGAATTGAACTGCAGAGGAAGGTAATGAGTGTGTGATGTGTGTATTTGTGTGTCTGTGTGTCTGTGTGTTGGGGGATGGAGTGGTTACTCAGCAGCAGTGAAGGTCATTTTCTCCAGCAGGCTTGACGCTGGGTCAAGCATTACTGTATGAGTACACGTATATGTGTGTGCACAAACACGCGTCATAAAATACCTTTTATGACGCGTGCCAAAATGCATTTTGTTTACTACATGGTGTATCTCAGAGTTAAGCATGTCATCTATATATGTGTGTGTGTGTGTATGTGTGTATGTGTGTGTGTGTGTGTGTGTGTGTGTGTGTGTGTGTGTGTGTGTGTGTGTGTGTGTGTGTGTGTGTGTGTGTGTGTGTGTGTGTGTGTGTGTGTGTGTGTGTGTGTGTGTGTGTGTGTGTGTGTGTGTGTGTGTGTGTGTGTGTGTGTGTGTGTGTGTGTGTGTGTGTTTCCCGTAATAGATTGAGCAGCAAAGAGAGATGACGTTAGAAGACTGGCATCTGTTTGTTTGGGAGACACTTGAGAAGCTGTGAAGTGACAGGAAAGGCTGCTTGGCACCATTGAGAGACACATGAGTGTTTCAGTGTGTGCAATTAAGAGACACAGAGGGTTAGTTCTGTACATGCTTACCTACACTTCAAACCGACAAAGTGGTCAACCGTCATCGATTTTCACTCGAATTACAAAAACCAACATGTCATTTTGCTTCAAGTTAGGGTGAATTATTGCTGCAACACAATATAAAGGATTAATCATAATTACTGTTTTCCAGCCACAAACAAAAAAAATACATGTTTTTATATTTCATAAGTCCATTCCAGTTCCCAATGTGTCAAAAATAAAACTAAGATTAAGCCACCTTGTTGCCCAGAATTGTATTCCTAGTAATAAGGCTTTGCGCAGAATGTGGATTATCTTTCTAGGAGAGAGTTAAATTGAACAGTTGCTTGGATTAATAAAATATGAAAAACCCAAATAATTAATAGGATGCTGCCTTTTTGGTTATTGGCGGCCTTATCTGAGGGTTGTTGGAGGATTTTATGGATTTGGGACTCTTTGGCCTTGCAAGAAACCTATACAACTCTGTATAAAAATTAAATAAACAGATGACTGAAGGAATAAACACTTTCCTTTCTCAAAAAGATGAATCAGTGAATTTCCTCGTTAATAGCCTGCACGTACAAACTAGACTATATCTACTCTGAATGTTTATTCAAGCTCAGAAGTGTACTGGTGCACCTTTGTGAGACTCACAGGAACATTGTCACACCTGTGGGGGGGTGTATCAGTGTGTGTGTGTGAGTGAGAGAGTGAGAGAACGGGGAGGGGGTGATTGGAAGAGAGTGAGTGGTGTTTTTGTGTCTGAAAGTAAAATGATACAGGTGTCTCATTTCCCCCCCTTGATGACGCACTTACAGTAGGCCCTAGTGAAATGCCCGTGCAACTGCTAGTGTATGTGTGAGGGAGAGAGAGAATGTTTGTGCATGTTTTTTGTTCTTGTTTTTTTGCAGTTGATCTCTTGGGAAAATGTGATAGTCCAGTTGAGCTTTTTTGTGAGTTTGGAAAATCCTCAGGTGGCTTTAAGCAAGGAAGCCATGATCTGTTGAAAAAAACTAACTGCAGTTTTTGGAAGCAAATGTTTTTGTTTTCCTCAAGAAAGGGCAGTAACTTAAAAATCTACCAAACCTTTTTTATTGGTTGGGTCTCAAGGGTTTACAGCCTTGGGGGTCCTCTGGGCAAATACTCTGGCAGCTCTGCAGTTGCTATAGCGCTGACAATACACAGGAAAAGCAATGCATTGGGAAAATGGGGACCCTCAATTTATTGTTGTGTTTGTTGCTGCTGTTTTCCCAGCTGAATCTATTCCCTGGTTGCTGTCTGAAGCATCAAATCTATTCAGATGTCTTTGTCTCCTTTCTTGAGTGATGCATTTTTCTAATTATCCTCCAAACAAGGAGTCTGTGACGCTCCATTTCAGCTTTTCGAAAAACATTATCCCCATTTGCCAGTGTCACTGATGTGCATTGTGATTCACTGTGTATAACTCTGCAGTGTCAGGCTTTCATGTTGCTTTATGTCTTTGTCCTTGTCCGTCTATAGATCTTTGCTGCCACGTGAGAAAGTCATAATTCACGCAGCTATTTTGAACTTGAATTGAAAGATGTGTAATATGTATGATGTAATAATATAAAAACCCTTTTTTGAGGAACTCATTAGAGAAATGAGCAAATCCGTGCAGTAAAGGCCGACTGTAGAGCTGTGTAATGAGACGGAAGAAAGTTAACAAATCTCGCAATGGTGCAAAAAGGTGTTACAGTTTCTATTAACACATGAAATCCATTGTATTATTAACTGGAAACATAACGGTTGCTTCCTGTATACCAGGATATGTATGTGTATAATGCTTGAAGACTAATTTAGTATCTTTGGAAATACTTACTATTCACTTTCTTGCTGAAAGTTAAATAAGACGAGTGATACTGTTCTAATTTATGTCTGTGATGTATACAGTAGGAGCCAAAAGACGGTTAGCTTAGCATAAAGACTGGAGATAACAGAAAAATACCATACTGGCTCTGTCCAAAGGGTGAAAAAATACAAACACTACCTCTCAAGCTCACTAATTATATTTTGTTTGTCAAAGCCATACAATGACTTCAACGTAACTAGGCGCCAGGCAACCATGGACTCCTGCTTGCATTCTTAATGCTAAGCTACGCTAACTGTTCCCTGGCTGCCACTTGATGTATTCAACAAGATCAAATCAATTACTAGTAAAAAACCCTTCAGACTAATTATACAAAAAACAAATAAAAGAAAAAAAAGGAATCAAAATGAATCAATTAATGATGAAGCAGCTTGTTCTGTTAAAAAAAACGTGTAGATACTATTTAGAACAATTTAAAAATAATGCTAGCTAATGCTACTAGAATGATTGAGTCAATTATGAACCCAGCACTCATTCACTCGCTCACTCAGTCAATCCCTAACAGAGAGGAAGAAAATAGGAGGCATTGGTTGAAACACAACACTTTAGATCAATATATTTTAGGGACCTGACTACTTTAGCTCTGTCCAGTGATCTGTAGAAGAGGAAAAGCACTCGGACTCAAAATGGACAGAAAACACAGTGGACTGTGAAAAGTGAGAAGCATGCTGACAGTTTAATAGTGGGAGGAATACAAATACAGGTAAATTGGAGAAAATATGTGGCACGACAGGATAATAGTAGGCATAGAACAAGAAATGCAGCGTGAAGAAACGTGTTATCTTTTTCCCTGTGTGTCTGTGCACAAAGGAGAGCATGTCAAATTTGGTGAAATTATATTTTCTTCATGCGGTGTCATTTAATCTCCTTTCATTTTGTGAGGTTATATTTCAATTCTAATGTCCTTGGCAACGGCACAGAAGGAAATAGGCTGATAAGCCTGTTTTGAATTGAGATTTCACACAGAGGGACTTATGTGTGTGTGTTTGTGTGTGTGTGTGTCAGAGAGAGAGACGGTGTGCGCCGGTTGGCATGCGTGTGCAAATGAAAATAAAATCAAGCATAGATAGATAGGTCAGTGAGACTAATATAACATTATTAACAAGGGCAGGGAGAGATAGAGGGAAGCAAAGAGTAGAGGGGGAGGAGGAGGAGGCGGTCCTTTTACCAACTCCATCCAATCAGATGAAGGAGGGAGGGGCTCAGCAGTCAGGAAGGAAGGAGCAGAGCAGCAGCAGCAGACACAGAGGGAAGAAACAGAGCATGTTACAGAAGGAGGGAGATGTTGGAAGGTAGAGGAAGGTAGACAGAGAGATGCTGTGCCATAGTGTGTATGTCTGCATTGCTGTCAGTAGCGCCACTCTCCATCCTCTCGTCGGGGACCATGATGTGTTATGGAGCTCGGATGCACAGGTTCGCTGCTCATGCAGGGGATGCAGATAGAAGTTCACCTTGAGCCGGAGTCCAACATTGTCTGTCTGGACCGCTGGGATTACAAGAAATGCGCATTGTTTCCGACACAAAGATCAACAGAGATTTAATCGGATCTGACCACCTGCCAAACCAAAAGTGGCTTCAGATATTTTAACTTTTGGATTACTGGTCCAGACCTAAACCACAACAGAACTGAGAATCCAGGGTCAGAACTCAAACAGGTACTTGCTCGGCTGAAAGTTGCCAGCTGTCTCTAAACCAGACAGCTTTCAGAACCAATATTGTGACATTCCCAACTCACACTGGAAGCCCGCAAACCCAAGCCGGTCCTGCAGCCCGGGGACCCTGGAGCTGGCCTGACCTTGGATTGTCTGTCCCCCGAACCCCTCCTGGCACCGGCAGAGACCCCCAAAATGTCTCAGACCGGAGGACGAATCCACAACAAAAAGGCTGGCATTCGGGCTGCTGTGATCCTGATCGGACTCCTGCACAAGTCTCGCAAAGCCAAGGAGAAGGAGAGAGAGAAGGAGAGAGACAAGGAGAGAGAGAAAGAGGAGAGCGAAGGGTGGGTGAAGTTTGTCCCGTTTTGTGGTTTGATGAGGAAGGCATGCTGGGTATTTTACGTTTAGCTTAAGATCAAACAGGCTGCAGTGCAGTGTTGCAGCTGGGATTGTAAAGAAAACTTTATTACCCTGTAATGTCATTGTTAATTCAGAGGCATGGGGCACTTTGTGGTTCAATGAGATTCCATCTGCAGTTTTATAATCCTAAATGTCCTTTTATAAGAGTTAGTGTGTCTTATTTATATCTTAGTCAATGGAAATAACAGACTTGAAAGAAATAGAAAGGTAGTGAGGATTGTGGGTGAAAAGAGGTTGAGTCCTTTTCAAGAGGCGACTGAGAGGAAAGAAGCAAGTGTTCAACAAGGGAGATGTGTCCAATGAAAAGGAAAAGCTGCAGAGCAAAGGTCATCCTTCCTTTTCTGTTTATATTTCTAGTTTTTGATGCATAAACTAGCACCAATTGACACTTGTTGATGCCTGCTATAATAAAGAAACCCTTCCATTTGTTTAGGGCAGAGTCGTGGGTGAGCTCAAGTTCAATAGGTGAGCTGCGAATTATAGTGGCGAAAAGAATACAGTAATTTACTGCCTACACCCAAGCTGTAAACAGCAGCTGTAAATATGGGATTGAAGCAGGCTTTTAAATTACTTTATTATGGACTATGAAGATTAAAATGAAAGCAACAAAACAATGCCTTTCAATCTCTTGAGCTCTTCAGGTTTGTATGATGACAGTTAATACCAGATTGTCAAGACCTTCAGAAATTGCCACTCCAATTTCCCCAATAAGAGGATTTCCCCTGCATGCTGTGTTGTGTCCAGATCATCTTACTGCTAATACTACCTACGATGAGTGCAGTCAATATGACCCATGGGAATATCCCACCTGATAGCAAACAGTGTACAAGGTTGCCTGACCTGTTTTGACTGAGCTAACATTAGCAGCTTGCACATACAGTTACATTGGGATCTCAGCAGAAGGTTGTTGCAGAATGAGTTTGAATATTGAGGAGCAAATAGACAGATAAGAACTGCGCTGCCAAGCAAATATCACACTATTTGTATACATATTTATAATTTCTTCTACTTCTGCACTGCCTGAGAGTTCTAGCTACAACATGTCACTGCCTACTTCAATGTATGTGTGGCAAACAGGAACATGCAAATGAGCCTCATCAGGAGAAAATCAGTTTCATTCACTAAGATCAGCGCTTATTACCACCTGAGGCTACAGTGAAATTATCAATAACTCAGGATTGCAGAATTATTTTCTAAAGGCTCTCAGGCAAAGATCTTTCAGTGAGATTTTCTTGTGTACTCATCTTCTTTAACAGTCTAAAAGTGAACGACAATAACCCATGTCAGACCGGTATAGTACATTTGCACACGAGTTATCTCTGTCACGTTTCAATTCCTTGTCTGGAGTTTTGAAGATTCGCTTCCACAATTGTTCAGGACCTATAGCTTACGGCGTTCAAATAAATGTTTCAATTGTTTTCTGGCTTTTTTCTCCCTGCTTTTTTATTTAAACAACAGCAGAAAAGGCACAAAGGAAGTTCAATATCTTTTGTGAATCACCTTAAGCGGTAATCCATTCTGTCTGAATGTCATCACGGTGAAGGATGTACAGTGTGGTCTGTGTTTCAGGTTCTGTGTGTGTGTGTTTATGTGTATGTTAGTGTGTGAATGTGTAGGTTTGTTTGTGTGTGTGTGTGTGTGTGTGAACACCTGATAGGCAGCACTGAATGCACTTTGCTACTCTGTTCTAATAGCCTGGACCAAAATAGGCTACATGGAAATAGACTGTAACTCACTTTGCAAACGCTGATAAGTTTATCTGACCTCTGTGTGTGTGTGTGTGTGTGTGTAATTTAGTTTTATATAGTGTACAATTAAACCCTTGAGGCGAGGCTGGATTAGCACTTGTGCTTTCAGGGTTAATTGTGTGACAGCTGGTTTGTGGTGATTTGATTATTTTTCTTCTAAGATGATAAACACCTGTTATATTACCTAATCCTGAAGTCTCAGTTTTTATAAGGAAGCAAACCTTAATATTTTAGTTGATAGAATTTCCACATTGTGTATAAATATGGTGTCTTTAATAAAACAATTCAATACACAGCAAACCTGCAGCAGGAGATTTGTGCTTTCTATGGCTCTGGGCAAAATATGTACTTGAAGGCAAAAAGGTCAACACACAGTGACTGGGAGGAAGGGGTTGTCAGTCGGGCCCAAGCACTTCTTATTTAACCCAAGGGCCTTATATTAATCCAGCCATGCCTGGAGGCTATGTGTCATTTGTGAATGCAACAAAACGGCAAAGTCACATTCTATCATGGAAACACATTTTCACCAGAAGTATGTTTTGAATGATTCTTCTTGATATCTCCTCATGTCAAATCATAACAGTACAATGATGTCTAGATAGCATAATTATCCAGAGGGAAGATATGTTAGGTTCTTAAACGTAAGCAGCCTTATATTAAAACAATAAATACAATGGAAATTAAAATACAGACTGGCAATAGGAAACACTTTGCATAGACTGCTACAGACTTTTTCACCACCTCACTTTTCTGCAGAGAACATGTGAAACTGTCATTTTCTTTTAACAACACAGAGTGAAGTCCATACACAAACGCACAGACATACAGTTTCCCTCCTTGCTTGTTTCTTCTGTGTATTCCTCTCACTCTTTATCCCTGCGCTGATACAGCCATAATGTACATTTGCCTTCCATTAAGTTGAACAGCATGAGGTCTGCTGCTTGTCTCTGAATGTTTATATTATACCCTCCATGCATTCATGTCCTCTGCAGCTCATTTATCTTCAGCTGCAGACCTGTTTTTTGTCAGTGTGTGCTTGTGTATGTTGTTTTTCCATATGTGTGTATGCATTAGTTGTGTTCAGGCAGTTCTTATGCAACAAATGGCTGAACGGTTATGATTGCCTGTCGGTTTGTGGTACAGTCTGTATAGGTAAGAGAGAGATAAACAGTTTTTTGATAGTTTTTAAAACTTTATTTATAATCTCAGTATGGTGCTAGTATTTTACAATCATAATCCACACTGTGTACCTTCCATCATCATGGCGTTCTATGTAACATACTGGAGAACTACTAACTACATACATGAGTCGACAAGAGAAACAATATAAGATTGATACGTCATCGTCAACGTAATTTAGCAAATTGCAATATTGAATTAGCATGTTCTATGAATGCACTGGCCCGGTGCTACGCTACCTCCTGTTGATTACGGGGAGTTGGAGAGTAATTGCACAGGAAAAAGCATGACCTTCACTATAAGTGGAGGTTTTCTGGCTCACAAAACTGCATTAAGTGGTTCACTGTAATGTATAAGACTGATTCACTGTCAAACAAGGGGAGAAAATGTCCACTTCGTCTGTAAATTATGCTTCAGTGCTGGTGACTATAACCACAAAAGGGCTGAGCAGATGCTTCATAATAAAAGCCCAAATGAATTCCATTTGCTGAACGGCTTCACAGGGAAAGGTTGTCGCAGATGCATTAACAGCATATACATGTAAATGGGAATTGGGGCTGCTTACATTTATAAGGAAACTTGTTAAATTGTTTTATCTTTCTCTGGTATTTTTCATCTAGGATCCCAATGTTGAAGGATTTTTTTCAATTGTAGAATCATCAAAACATCCTCTAGCCTGAATAATGATTGCAGCCAACTTGGCACACCTCCTTTCTTGCTTCTTTATAAGCAATGTTTCTACTTGTCAGGGTCATTTGGGTTTTATTTTTCAGCTGTGAAAGACTCAAGGAGACCCTTTTAATGGAAATACCTCTGAAATCTGGGGTTTTTGATGGTGGGTTTTATAGACACAAAAGCAAGGACTTTAGAGCTTTACATCTCTCATACAGATGCCTATATTGTAGGTACTCAAACCAGAGAATTATTTGAAAAACACATCTTTACATAACATGCATTCAATTGAAAAGTCTGAAATCACTATGTGACCACGACCAGTAGTTCACATGGTCTTCAAACTGAAAACAGCTTATGCATGGATTAAACAAACAACATTTCACGTGTGATACTTGTTTGAGGTGCTGTTGGCATAATTTTGCTTCCAGGTTATCTGTTTCCACCTGTTTCCTGTCTTTATGCTAAGCTAACCAACTGTTTGCTCGCTTCAGCTTCAAACTGCTTCTTAGAATCCTCCAGAAAACTATTTCTGTGTCTACAAAATGGGTCTTTCATGTGCAATTATTCCAAACAACAAATATATTGTAACCACACCCTTATATGTCCCAATATGCTAATGGACTTTATTCTGAGAGGTGTTGCCATGTCATGTGCACAGAGGGAATTAAACAATTAAACATCTCATTTAAAAATGTTTTACTCAACAATGGAAATAATAATATAAGAAATGCCAATAGCTGTGCACCAACATGTGCTGTCTGTGCATATATACTGTATATATTGTATAACACAACTGTGGGCTGTTTCAGGTCTTAGTGACTATTATCGTTCTCTCTTCAATTCAAATCCCTCTTCAGTTCACCGCAGGTCTTTCTCACCTCCCATATATTATTTATAAGAACACTTGTCAAAGTAATAGTGAGGACAGGAACATCATAAAATGTGCTGATGATTCGGTTCGTCGTCAGCCTACACGCACGGTGTGGAATAAGATCACCGGCCTGTGGAGGAGTCTTTCATCCTGTTCAATGTAGCAAACACTGAGGACATGAGTATTGATTTTTAGAAAGTTGTCCACTGCTTTAAATGGCTTTTAGTAAGGGAGAGGAAATAGATCTGGTGATACGAAACTCAATGAGATTCCTAAAAAGTGAAGCTGTGCGTATCATCCTGAGGAAAAGACATGTCTTTTAAGGTTTTTCTCTGCTTTGAGGATGTTTTAATTATAGAAGCATCTTTGCCTCATCTTGATTTAATGTTGCCTGACATGGAAATCGTTACACAGGCAGGAAGAACATGCTTAATGTGACAGGAGACAGTTA